TGCAAGTCCATAGAGTCCTGAGAAGTCCCCACCCCCTCTTTACATGCTGGCTGAGAGTGGCCAATCAACAATCAACGCCGACCAAAGGAAACCTGTTATTTTCGACCCCGTAATCATTTCCATCAGATGCCTTGCTGTCCCTCACAGTGATTTCAACATTCAAATGACAAAGGGAAGCCTGCTTTAACATATCTGCGGACAGGCACCAAGGACAACAGGGACAGAATAGACGGAGTAAACACTATAACCAGAGCAGACATCTCCCCTCCGCTACAGCAAAACCAGCCTGTCACCACTCACAAAATCAAGACCTGCCCGCTCACACGCATTTCTTTCCTGGAACACCTTGGTAGGCTGGAACACAAATAAGCCTCGGACATGGAATATAACGTTTTTAATTCTGCAGACATCACTATTAATTGGACCTAGATAGATGACAAAGTGTTACATTAGATTTCTGATAATAGTGAAAAGGGGGTTTAAGGCACAGGCCATGAACCACATTATCTGCCCTCAAGCTGGGAACCACTGCTATTGTTGTTGTCACGTCATTGCCCATCTCTTTCTCTCCCCTAATATCTACTGTGAACTCTAACAAAAGGCACAACCTGGCCAAAGCTAATGTTTAAATGATTCATTTTCTGTAAATAAACAAATCAATGTATCACTCAATGATTTAGGCTATCAGCTTTAAGACAATATGTGTCAATGTCTACATGAGAATTTATTGAAATACAGTAAACAATAAATACAATACGATAAACAAATCAGTCCATTTTCTGCTTTGACCAGAAGGGCCTTAAAAATAACATTTCATGGGTGTTGGCCATGTGTTGAAGGGGGAAAATCGAGGTTCACTGGATTTCTCCCACTATTGATTCCCATCTCCTGTGAGGCAGGGGGATCGATCGGTGGGATTTAGACACGGAGGCCACTCTCTCAACCCTCCTGGCTAGCATGCTGCATCACAGATGGCCAATCTGCTGCTGATTGAAGGCTTACTGACACACCTGAACTTTTCTTCTTCTGCGCGCTCTTTTTATCTTAGCGTTTCTCATTACCTGCCCCCGTACTTCGGTGATTCTTCCATTCTGAGTCATTTTAGACTTTGCCAATCTCCCCCTACTCGAAAGTAGAGCAGCGTGAGTTTTCAAGAGGCCTCCCTTGAAGCAGCAGAGAGCATTAGGCGTGAGATGTGGAGAAACAGAAGGAGCGGTAGAGAAAAAAAAGAGCTGGAGAAGGTAAGAAAAAATAAATAAAACCGACACGCGGACATTTCTACCTTCGAGAGCACGACTTAAGCAAATTACAATGGTCTGCAATCAAGAAGCTGAAATTACTAAACTACTGGGTCACCACAGCAACCAAAAGCCTCATCATAGCTGTGAGCAGAGCAGCAGTCGATAGAAAGTAAGAGGAGGCACCCGGAGAGGAGAGCTCAGGAGGAGGGAGAAGCTGCAGTCCAGTTTAAAGTAAAGTCTGTATTGACATAATACTAATCAATCAATTGATCAAATCATGCTTGATCCACACAGACTCATAGCCTTCTCATTTTTGTGTTAGCCTCCTTTACAGATGCGTTTCAGTATTGAGTATAGAGCTCGATCCAGTTTCTGAGGCATCAGATACATTTGATAGGGAGGAAACTCTGCTAAATGTATACTGTAGGAATTTTTCTCCTCATTTCTTTCCCTTCCAGTGGCGAGCAGATGGAAGTCCGCTCCATGGCTCAGGATTCAGTGATAACACTGTTTATGAGTTCCATTACGTGCTCGGCAGGCTGTAAGCAGTCTGTCTCAGCGCAGCCATAAGGAAGAGGAAAAAAAACTGCTCACAATGAAAACAGATGCAGTTTATTTGTGATTATACCGCATGGCTCTGCTCCGTGTTTGAAATAAGCACTGTTTATTTTTTTTAAAAGGTCTCACATAATGCTATATTTCCAACCTCGCTGTACCGACGCTGTGTAGATCCTTTTCAGTTTTGGTAGCTGTCGTGCTGACACACGATGGTTGGCAAAATCAATTGTATTTTTATTTCTGCTTTAAAAATGAGGGACAGATATTCAGTTCAGGTCATACAGAACATGGTCAGTGATGAACATGATGGTCAGTGCAAAAAAACAACAACGCTAAACCAATATGAATCACCTGCAGATTAAACACCACTACCTTGCCAATTACGCCTGTATTCATCCATTTGGTTCAGTTCAACTAATGACAGTAGGGGGAAGACAAAATGTCCCAATTCAGCAGGAAAAGATTTGCTGACAAATACTAAAATGCATTTGCTTGGACCAATGGTCAACTGCCATCTGTTTTAGTGAACCCAGTGAGACATGAAAACAGGACTTTAGCAACTTTTCCAAATGACAAAAAAAGGAGGAATTATGTAAAAAAAAAAATGAAGATGTTGAGAGTAGAGCGAGATGAAACAAAACCTCTTCTTTTCTGTCTATTTCACCAGAATCTGAATTCAAATCTGTCAAAGGCAGCCCTCATAAGACTAATGTATTCTGTGGCTAATGGAGCTGGTAGCTTCGAGGGCTGGGCTGAGAGTCGCCACAATGATTCTCACTCATTTCCTCTGAAGCGCCAATTATCTCAAATAGAGGCATTATGAAAGGAGCCGAACTTGGTCAAGTGAACAAACCCTTGCAACTCTAGCTAGTACCTCTAGCACTTTCAGGTCATGTTACACCTTTGAGGGAACCTATTGGGACTTAAGTGCAGTGAATGCGGCTGTAATGTTAAATGTCTGCAATCAATGCCCACTGAAGAATTAACAGTATATAATTCAAAAAAATTGGCAGAATATGAATGAGTAAATTAAAGGCAGTTAGCAGTGAAACACCGTGTACTGCACACTATGTACCATGTGAATAATATTTTAGGTATTACAAAATGTATAAAATGTACATACATGTGTGAGGAGCAAGAAAGAGGTCACATGAATACTACTGTTATATATGAGTGGCTGAGTGGAGATGAAGAGAGAAAGAGGCAGAGGGAGAAGAAGAGAAAGAAAAGGAGAGATTGTGTTGTCCTATGATGAAAGGCTTGATTGATTAGAGAGTGATGATTGCAGTAAATGGCCTGGAAGATGGTTCCATCTCTGTTTCCCGTTTTCTCCGTCTCTTATGCCTTCTTCCCTCAGTCACTTGCTTTCTCACTTACACCTCTCTCTCCCTCCGTGCCTCTCTTTGTCACCCCCTCTCCCTGGTTTGATCATGGCAACCCATCAACAGAGTGCCTCTCTCTCCCCTAATGGCACCGCTATTAGCACTAATGCATTTCAAACGTACAGCAGCTGCCACATCACAATCTGATGGAAAGTACAGGTCTTCCTGCGATCTCCACAATCTCTGTTCTTTCTTTCATCCAATCTTGTGTCTCTGGTCCAACGTGTTGCACTTCATGTCAACCCTCTTTCAGCTAAGCAACAGCGGTCATCATCTGTAGCCAGTATGACGAGAGATGAGTGGGTGAACAACTGATTGATGATAATGTAGCTGATAACATATTGTTGATCTTGTAATCAGTTTGAAAATGATGCTGTCCAGAAACAATTTTCCATTTAGTAAAATTAGCAGAATTGGAATCATTTCAAAAAATCTGCCAATTTACTGAGACTAAAAAATACTAGTTGATGCCATTTGTATATCTCTTTGTGTAGTTTGGAGGAATAGTATGTTGAAGGGTGGAATTATCCAACTTTAGCTTAATTACTAAATATTTATTGGATCAAAGGCATCTCTGTGTGAAGATAGAGAAATGCATCTTTCAGCCTGCAATAAATAATTTTCTGGCCACTTGACGGCAGCAGAAACAAGCTGTGAACACAACACTGCGACATAATCAAATTTATAAGGTCAATATAAGCAAACACAGAGCAACATAAGCTCTCATTTGGAGTTGTGTTTCTGGCCACCTGATGAATAATAGTCAACAATTTACTCTCCATTGTGTTTGGTCTCCACCAACCCCTGAGAGAAATATCTGTCTCTGTTGAGACTAAAAGCTCTATGTTCACAGGTCAATTTTAGGCTCTTAAAACCTGCCTGCTGTGGCAAAAAAAGATGCAATGAGAGCCATGAGAATGAAGAAAAACAGTGAAGTTGCAAATGAAAAATCAAAAAAATGTGCTGAAAAAAGCTGTAAAGCAACATACTGGTGAGTGAGAATGCAGAGTCCAGTGTTACTTCTCTGTGGATTCATCACCACTAGCGACCCTTTTCACACACAAGTAGTCATGTGATCCATTGTTTTTGTATCAAATATTAATTACAGGTGCTTTAAAGTTTTCCAAAGATGGCTGCATATCCAAAAATAAACTAGACTTTGTCAACTCACATATTGCTAAAGTTACTAGTTTCACTAATCAAGCTATTTCGAATATTTGAGTGTAGTTTATGGTGTAACAGAATGGCTGAATACAGTAGTATAGAGTATTTCTGATGATTATGTAATCGTGGGGATATTGTTTGTTCTGTCCTTGATTTGTGAACCGTAGGCTCACATTACGAAGTATTAAACCCTCAGCATTAGTCACTGTCTCTGAACCCACACACATTCATGAGTTGAGCTAAACTAGGCCAAGCTTACCGTCTATCAGATTCAAACTGCATGCAGAGACATTAAAGAGGCATCTGTAAAACTCCTCAGGTGTCACTTTAAACAATGAACGGCGACCCGCTTTAACAGAGAATCCATAAGATTCTGTAAATGCATTTGTGAGTCATAACTCCGTTTTGATCAGTGAGAAAAAGACATCTCCAAATATATATTAACTGATATATTAACTGTCATTAACTGTATCCATAGGGACATTTATTATTATTATATCATTTATTATTAGGTTTTATTATTTAAAAAGCTGAATGGATTCTAGGGATGCACTGATTGTGAAATTCAGAGCCGATACAGATGTTTAAAATAATAATTTGTTGTGGTTTTTTTATAACCCTATTTTTTCCAGGAAAACAAAAAATAAAACTTAACTGCTGAAACTGAACTGTATATTTTGTGGAGTTCGTAGTCCCTTGGGAGGATGCTGTGCAGAAATCCTCCCAAGAAAGAAACTGCGATGCAGCGCTTGCAGCGGAGGCAGAACACCGGGGTTGGAGAGCAAAGACCAAAGAACTGCCCAGAAGAAGTTGGATGTTGGAGATTCCTGTCAACATCAAATGTAAGACGGATGAGGGACCTGGGGATGAGCGGACAAGCCCTTTGCCATGTCATCAAAGAAATATCAGGGGTAGCAGAGCAGAGTAGTCATTGGCTCTGGCTGGGGATGAAAGACCCCATTTTGTCTCCCAATAAAGGATAGGCAGATGTAGAGGGCGGTGGTTCTGTAACGCCAGAACGCCTTTCTCAACACTGGAGTAGCGCAGATCAGTGAGCCTACCATCACCACTGGGAGCATGACAATTTAAGAGGTGGCACTTCGGATTCTAACATCACCTATATTTGAAAGCATCCTCCAGTGACTGCCTTGAATAGTCAATCAAGTCAGTTGAAGGAAGTCAATCGAACAGAGTCTCAGCATAGTTCCCAGGACATCAGCACCCCTGATGAAGGACATTTATGGAGACAGAGGTCTTTCCAGACTTTCTTTTTTCTTTTTCTTCAAGGACCACTACGAGATAATGAAATCAATTTTCCCCAAAGAAAAGGGAGGAAACCTGAAGTCATCAAGGCCAGAGCTTGACGAGTATCTGTAAAGAATCCATGTGTATGATAGAGGCCAGTGCAAACAGCTCATCGGATATCCCACCAAACGAACACACCAGATAGACGTCAATCCTTCAAAGTGGAGGGAAGTGGAACAGGCAGTTACATATCGACTATACAAGAGTCCTCCTGATGTTTTTTGCTTCCAGTGCAGACTAAAAAGTGTGGCTTGGGAGAAGGGAATCATACCCAAAGCATAAAACAGAGTAGGAGGAGTCCTGATTCCGAAAGAGAAGGAATCCACGAATATCAGCCGAATCCACCCCATTGCGTCAGAGGATGACCAGCCATCTGGAAGGAAACAACCTTGTGGACAAAATAGCCCAAAAAGCAGGTATCCCAGGGTTCTCTGGATGCCTCAAACACACCGGCACGATTTGGCACAAAATCCAGACTGCACCTTGCATCAGATGCCTTCTATGGAAGCTAAAGGACAGATAGCTCTTATGTGAGGAAATGGTTCACTTCACTTTGGCTGGTTGACTGTGCTAACGCAATTTTATTATTGTAAATGTGTGTTTCTGGAAAATATTGTGTCTAAGTGTAGACCTTCTTACTGTAGATGTGTGTTGTTGCACTTTGGTTTCCTCTATGGAAAAGCAACATTCAGATATTACCTAAACATTATAAACCTCAGGTTCTGGGTCAAAGCCATGGGACCAAAGTCAAGTTGTTTCATAACCTCTTTCTGAAATAGAAAAAATAGAAATGAGTGATATGCTGATGCTATCCAGAAAGGTTTCACAGAGCTCTGCTTTTTATCTCCCAATTTTCAGTCTACCAAACAGAGAAGAGTTTTAATATTTGGCTCTGAGGTTGTTCTACCTCCTCCCGAGAATTGCAAAGCAGCAATGAAATGACTGCGTCGCCTTGGGATGACTCTGCTGCCAACACAATAGTCGAGTGTCACAGAGGGATGGGCACCTGACCTTGAGAAATCAGTGGCAATCCAACACTTTAATGTCCATTTCACACACCATTTCATGCCAATGGATTTAAAACCCCGAACGACCATCACAACAGTTGTTACGATCAACATTTTGACAACCCTAATGTCCGTCAGTCGGGATGGTCAGAAAACTGGCTCTGCAGTTAGCAAAGGAAAAGCTTGAATGTGTGTGTGTGTGTGTGTGCGAGAGAGAGCGGGGGTGTGGGCGGGGGGGGGGGGGGTTGTGTGTGGTTGTGCGGGGGGGGGTGGGTGGGGGGGGGGGGGAGTGAGGTCTTCCCATTGCTACGGTAACAGCTGTGATGGCAGCCGCTATGAGGAACAGGCGTATCATTGAGTTTCTATGATGTCACCAGTTTGGCGAGGCGAGCAGATGGGCAGGGCCAGGTACTGAACCTGCCGTTAATAAACACACGCAAATAAATACCCGCTCGCCGATAAACAAAAACAACCACACGCACACAAACACACACGCACACACACACGCACACCGTCACCCACTCAGAAATTCTATCAAAACGCACTGTCACTCATGCATAAACACCTATTCTCTTCATTTGACAGACTGCTCCACCCGCTAGTTTAAGATGCAACGCATTTCTCCTAATATGCCCAAAGAGCATGCTAATCTAATTAGAGTGTCAGTCAGCAGAGTGCTCACCTAAAGATAAATTAGAAAAGCACAAAACCTACGAACAGGAAAAAATCTCCTTGCAAGGATGTGGCATATCTACCTCCACTACTCCCCCCCAACCCCCACCTATTTGTGAGTTTTGTTAATGGTTTCACAGTCGTCCCTGCTGAGATTCATTACCTGGCCTAATTATAAAGGCAAATGAAATCAGCTCCAATACATTATTAATAGAGGAGAACCATTAGGATTATTTTGCAGTGTTTGCAAAAATATGATATATTCCAACTATTTTCATGCCTGATTAAAGACACATACAGATAACAAAAGAGCTATATGAATATGATGGAGGCGCAGAGAGTAAGGGTGGGTGTGAGGCTGGTGACTGGACAGAAAAAGAGATGGAAACAAGAAGAGAAAAAAGAAAAACAGAAAGAAGGGAAAGAGGGAGACAGTGCTTTTGGCTTGGGCGATTGGATTAAAGAGAATGCTGGCTTTTCCACTTGAGGTGGTATTGATGCCATATTGGATGCGGCTACTTATGAACAGGTGTGCTGTGTGTGGTCACTGTGACCCAGACTTCCTGCATGGCTGGCGACACATCCGATCGAGGTGCATCAGAGCCAGCAGAGGCAGGCATCAACTTCTCTCCGGCCTAAGAAGAAGAGACAGCCGCACTGCAGCTCCCTCCCTCGGACCAGCGGGGAGGGAAGGGTGCAGCCCAGCCACCCGAAGACTTCAGCTCCAGAGAGTAAGCAACCATGAATAAAAATGGACTTTGCAGGGAAGTAGGCCTCATAATTATTCGTTTTAAATCACTTAAAACCTTTTCTCAAATATCCCCCAGGAGGCGCTGGGTTAAAAATCCATTTGTGGGAAGTGTACCATGACAGCGAGCTCGTCTCCCTGGAGACAGAGGATATGACAGTAGGGATTGTGCATGTGTATCTGTCGGGTGAGGCTATATATATATATATATATATATATATATATATATATATATATATA